GTATGAACAGCTTCATACAATCCCATACGTTCTATTTTGACACATAGTTACCGCCTAGCGTTTTCGCGTCCGTGCGAACGCTCGCTTACGGTGACGGAAAACATAGTGATGCAACCTGCACATATCGGAGAAGAAATTCAAAGATATGTGTGAAGTCAACCAACCCGCAGTGGGTCAGCGTGGTTGATTATGGCCTAGTCACTAACTTAGGGTAGGCTCCGAGCCCCTCAGAGGAGACGTATGATGAGCTGGTGATGAATTCATGAAGACAATAAATATAAGACCAAATGACTAGTAAAGCAAAAAAGATCACTGAACTAATCTAGGGAACTAAACAGTTCAGTATCCGCTATTAATGAATAATTTAATTTACATAACATTAATGAATATGATAAAGTTCGTAGCGATAATATTACTCATTGGAAAATACATCAGAAGTTAAAGATTCGCCTTCTTTGAATCAAATATCTGATTTTTATTATCTTCTGTTAATATTTGATATTGATTTATTATTAGCTGGTGATCGATTTATCTATAAATATTATTAAGAATCTATATTATAAAAACAAAATGAACGGAAAACCCTCGCCATTTAGCATCGGTAATCAACATGTTTAAAACAGTGTTATTATTTACTCTATGTTTTAGTTTCTCGCTTGCCAAACATGAACATTACGATGGGTAAGTGTTTTGATTGTGTTTATTATAGTAGTTACCGCGGAAACGAATCAGGAATGATATGATGAACAATGCCAAAGCAACATTAATGTTCATAGGAGATAACGGACAATTTTAAACAAATATGGCTAGAGGTAATTTTTTTACAAATGACCATGTACATATTTTACGGAATATTATTATCGTCATCATCCGTCTGTATCTGACCACTGCTGGATATACCCCTAGATATGAGACTTAATGAACTCTAACTGATTCTAGCAAGTAAGGCACTGATCTTAAGTGATACTTGAATGAAGAAGTGATCAGTGAAAGTTCCTCACCTTATCGCCTCTATTACTGGCTTGCCTTTATTAAAACCTTCTTTGATTGACACAGAAAGTGTTATTTAAATTAAAATTTCTTTACCAGCTACGTCGTGTATAAAATCACAGTATCCGATAAACAACAAGCGGAACGAGTTTATGCATTAGAGAATGAGCTGCTTTTCGACGTATGGTCGTATGCCGCTCCATCCATTCCAGGATTGGTCCTCGTTCCTGGACCGATGCGAGAACGCTTCCAGACTGAAGTTGGTAATATCGGAGCGCAGTACGAACTTCAAGTTGATAATGTTAAAGAGTAAGTATAACTGGATATCTCAACGCATTTTCCTGCAAAAACTTGGTAACGGACCTTATAATATGGATAAAAACCTTTGAAAAAAAATCAAAATTTCGATATATCTTGTAGTGAACCATGATCTTAAGTTAGTTTGCTAACATACTCAATATGTTTTTAATAGTCGTTGCCACATTCAGGAATAAGCTAGATATCGCCAGTTTAATTGTTTATCAATGGCTTTTCCAGGGTAGTGGAATTGGAAGAAAAACTATTAACCACCGCTGCTTCCCGTAGTAAGAAAAGACCCGGACGACTTTCATTTGACAAGATTCATCGCTATGCAGAGGTATGTGTGTGCTGCCTCTTAGAGAGTAAATACTCTTTTCTTAAAAGATACCAAGTCTCTGTGTCGTTCAGTAATTCCAGAGGCTGGCCATTACACAGGTCGCTCTAAAATTATAATTAATTTTACTTTTGAATTTTACTTCAGGTAAATTCTTTCCTCGACGACCTTGCTGAGAAATACGACACTGTGACGGTTGTGTCCGCTGGAAAGAGTTTTGAAGGTCGTGATATTAGATACTTAAAGATATCTACCACCAACTTCCAGGTAACTAAATTTTGAATTGCAACAAATTGGACTGAATTTTGAATAACCTTAAATTTCTGTCTCTTAATATTTCAGGATACCAACAAGCCTGTTATTATGTTACAATCCTTACTCCACGCAAGAGAATGGGTAACCTTACCAGTGACTCTGTACGCTATCGAGAAACTAGTTATTGACATTACCGACAGGGATCTTGTTGACAACATCGACTGGATCATCTTGCCCATCGCCAACCCTGATGGTTATGAATTCAGCCATGAACATGTAACTAACTTTATCTTTTTTATTTTTTGGGTGTACACCTGAAATTAAACTATCGCACAACTGTTTGGCCTCGTATTGATTTCTATGAGCATATTTGAACGTGCCCACGCTACTTGATTTATAGTTGTGCAACTAAACAGTTGAATTAGCTGCAAAACAATCGACAATCACACAACCATTGTGCGATAATTTAGTTAATGGTGTGCGCTCACTTTTTAAATATCGGGAAGAGATTAAAATTTAGTTTATCGCAAACAAGGAAACAATCATAATATCCAGGTATTATGAAAACAAAACTTGATGAATTTTTCAAACTAATCTGCTTGATATATATTTCAGATTCGTTTCTGGAGGAAGACTCGTTCCACCGGCCATACCATTACCAACTTATGTGTCGGAGTCGATCTTAATCGGAATTTCGATTACAATTTCGGCAGATGGTCTAGTGATATTGCTTGTTCCGAAGCATACCACGGTAAAGGTCCCTTCTCTGAACCCGAAAGTCAGGCTGTCCGCAACATTGTCTTAGAACACTTGAACCGCATGGAGTTGTACTTCGATGTTCACAGCTACGGTAGCATAATTCTTTACGGCTTTGGTGATGGCATTCTTCCACCGAATGGTCTAACACTCAATTTAGTTGGTGTAAAAATGGCTCAAGCTATAGATGCGGTCAAATGGCCTTCAAAACCGAATTACCTCGTTGGTAACCTAGGTTTAACATTTTCGAATGTATCAGGAACGGCGATGGATTATGTTCAAGGGATTGGTGTACCGCTTTCTTATATACATGAAATGCCTGCACATAATAATGAAAACAACAGCCTTACTGGTACTTTGGTAGATCCGAATTACATCGAACAAGCGGGATATGAAACATGGGAAGGTATCAATGTTGGTGCTAGATGGGTGCTACAAAATGCCAGAAGGAATAAGCATTAACGACATGTGTTGTCCGAAATTTAGCGGCTTTCTTGTATTGGTATTTGAATAAATATTTTCGACATGTTTTAAATAATATGCAACTTTTTTTTATTATCAGACTTCCAATTTTCCACTATTAATAAAGCAATGATTTATGAAGAGTTAATTTAACTTCATATTAGTGTGATTTAATAATCTGAAGCCGGGAATCGGGCAAAACAATTTAGAAGACAAACAATATGTAACAATGTAATAATTTGTCGCAATTTGTAAGAAAGTATTAATCGTAAAGGCAAAACTTTTGTCATATTTTCTTGTGCCTGTGAATTCGGTGAAAAAAAAAATAGCAAAATTCGAGTCATTCAGTTTTGCTATTATTTTATACCAGTTTTAGAAGAGTCATGAAATTTTATCTCTACTAAATAAATAGAAATTATTATGATCTTTGATACCGTATTAGTTTGGAATTAAATAGAAACGTTGTGTGTACATGGCAGAAAATATCATAATAGCAAATACATGTGTTAGTTATTCTGCTCAACAAAAATTGTCAGGGACCGACAATTTTTATCTGAATCGTTTATTTAATTACATTATCTATTTCTGAAAGTTTATCTGGCTTATCTTCAAGAAAATTTGTCGAATCTAATATCCGTTAACTCTTTGAATATACACAGAGTTGAAAAATTACTTGTCATATCAGAATTATTAAGGAATTCATTTAAATGTTTTATTTTTCTATCAGAATAAGCGGATATTACGCACATAATACATATAAATAGATTAACTCTTATCTACCAGACATTTTCTTATAGATTAGAAAATATTTCTTATTTCGTAATATTTACATATTTAGTTTCAAGACAATGTTTAATCATGGAACTTTAAAAATGAGTGAAAATCGTTATTATGTGAATGTATTCAAAGATGCTTATAATCCCTAGAGACCTACAGGAAAATTAAAAACGAAAATAAAGGGGATAGGTTTGTTTTTATTGGGTTTTTTTATCTATTAAGATAAATCAAATCTACTGGACTGATTTGAAAAAATCTCACCATTAGAAAGCTACGTCACCAGTGAGTAACATTAGGTATATTTTTTAATTTAACGCCGGCGAAGTCGCGGGCAACAGCTAGTCGTTAATAAAATAAGATCCCTTATTGATAAGCATTCTTGATCAAAGCCCTGCTTCCCTCCCCCAGCTTAGGGCATCGCGCTGCCCCCCCTACCCATCATAGATCATAGTCCTCCCCCTAATGCGTATATCAATAAATATTTATATGTTGATAGTAAGGGTCATTTAAAGTTTTTTTTCTTGAAATTAATCAATAAAAAAAATATTTCTGTTGCTAAAAATATCAACCTATCTACATGTGTAATAAAATGTCCACAAACAAGTTACTTATAATGTGGATTACATAAAGGCGACATTTCAATTGCTTCATTGATTAAAAATTATCTTTGGATTGTGTGAATTACCGTCGTCAACTAATATAAAACAAAGATAATACTAATGCCTATTAAAAATGCACTTTCGAAGAAAAAAGAACGAAACAAAAATAGCTGTCAAAGAAGTACAAGGAACTGGTACAGTCGTTTACTGGCCGAAGGACGAAGGAACCAATGAAGTAGTATATGGCGTGTTCACGCATTGTAGACTAGACCAACATACAATTAGTCGTTAAAGCATCCAGAGACGTCAAGAGAGTTCAACACAGGGTAGGCATCTGCCAAAGGGATATTTTTAATTTTTGAAAACCCCGTTTTCACGAGGAGGCAACAACCAATACAGTTCGAAATACAATGTTGGTAAATACAATTTACAAAATAAGAACTTAACAAATGTTCTTCGTACCTTATACAGCGCGCCTTTGACTAAACTCTCGCACAACTGTTTAGTCGCGCTATGATTCCTATGAGTTTATATGGCGGTGAACACACTACTCGATTTTTAGTTGTGCAACTAAACAGTTGTGCGATAGTTTTGTCAAAGGTGTGCGTCCGCTTTTAAGATTTAAATATCAGTTGCTGTCCTAAATGTAGAGACGTTTGCACCTGTGCATGTAATAATGCTCTACTTACATTATCATTGAGTTATAAAATCATTATCTCCTCAACATAATCCCATACTATTCTAATCCACGTAGATTATTGATTTTAGCAACTGTTCGGTTATCTGTAAGTACCTAGGGGCAATATAATAAAAACCAAGTTGCTGCCGCGTTTACTCCAGTTTGAGAATTGTTGGCCAAGGAAGTTGGTCAAAATGTATAAATTTGTATTTCTACTCGCCCTTTCCATCGGTTTGGCTCTTGCCAAACACGAAGAGTATGATGGGTAAGATTTGTAATGTAATTATTACTACCTTAAAAACTTTACAATAAAGCAGATTATGTAAATAGTAGCGTGGAAATACGTTTTGGTCAGCAAATTTAGTTTTTTCTCTACCTCGTCAACGCAATTAATCCCCGCGGTCTTCGCGCGAGGCACCACCAAGTAGGTCGCGATGATTCTAAGATAACTCGTTCTTTAATAAAATCTATTTTATTTCAGGTCCCTCGTATATCAAGTTAAAGTAAGCAATGTGGAGCAGGCGCAACAAATTTATGCGTTAGAGAACAAATTGGGCTTGGACATGTGGTCGTACGCCGCGCCTTCTAGCCCAGGTTTGGTCCTCGTCCCCGGTCCAATGCGCCAGCGATTCCAAACTGAAGTTGCAGCCCTCGGGGCGCAGTATGAACTTCAAATTCAGAACGTAAAAGAGTGAGTATGCTTCATTTGTTGTCAACTAGATTTCGCTTGCGACTCCATTCGCATGGAATTAAAAGAAAACAAAAATGAGTAGCATATGTGTTCTTCCAGACTATCCACTACATCTATACCAAATTTCATTGAAATCCATTTAGCCGTTTAGGCTACAAACTCTAACAATCATTCATCTAAACTTTCGCATTTATAATTTTAGTAAGATTGTTATTAGATAATCTTTACCGTTTTTAAGAAAGAGATTCGATTGAGGATGGTGTCTGATAGCTGTCCAAGTACGTGAAAAATTTGTAACAATTACATGAAACTCTTTAGAACGTTTTTAATAGAAGTGTTTTGATCGCTAAAGACATGTGAATAAAAGAATCGGTTAAAAATTTAAAGTATGAGTAAACGTAATAATTTCCAGAGCGATCGAGTTGGAAGAGAAACTGTTGGCGACAGCAGCTTCCCGTAACAGCAGCAGGAGTGGTCGTCTTACTTTGGACAAGATCCATCGCTATGCTGAGGTATGTTCTTTTCTCAACTTTTTCTTTGCGATTATCGTTCATGACTTGGTATTGAAATTTAAATCAACGTCAATAATCTATTTTCATTTAATTTTCAAGATCAACGCCTACCTTGATGAGCTGGCTGAGAAATACGAAACAGTGACCGTTGAATCCGCTGGCAAGAGTTTCGAAGGTCGTGATATCAGATACCTGAAGATTTCCACCTCAAAATTCGAGGTAAGATAATTCTGAAACATACAAGATGTCAGAAAATCAATTCCAGTCACCATCCTTATGCTACTCCCGTAGGCTCGGTGCAACAAGATTTGTCCTCCAAATAACTCTATCATACGTCATGTCAGTCATTACTCCCTTTTTGATCATGTCACCTTTCACGCAATACATCCATCTCTTTCTTGGTCTACCTCTACCGGTGTACCCTTCCACACTCATAACTAACGTTCTGCTTGTAACATGCGATTCATCCCTCTTCATAACATGTCCATACCATGCTAAACTTTTACTCCTTATCTACTCTATCACTGGGGCTACTGCCAGTATTAGAATTATTAACCATTACTTATTTCTTTCATTCTAGGATCTTAGCAAACCTGTTGTCGTGGTTCAGTCCATGCTTCACGCTCGTGAATGGGTAACTTTACCAGCTGCTCTCTACGCTATTGAGAAATTGGTTGTCGATATCAGCGACAGGGATTTGGTTGACAAAATTGATTGGATCATCATACCTATTGCCAACCCCGACGGATATGAATTCAGTCACACCAACGTAAGATTTTTAAGTTATTATGTAGTTAGAAAAATTTTTAGTTAGAACATTTAGTCCGCTGACAATATTGTTGTAAGGATACAAAATGTTTAGCTAATCAATTAAAGTTCTGGTAATAAATTAATGTCTTTCAAACTAAGATTAATTTGTAATTTAAAATTAAAAACTATATTTTATCTTCTAATCTGCAAAATTACTTATTGTTATATTATTCACTTAATTTCTTTCAGACCCGTTTCTGGAGGAAGAACCGCTCTACCGGCCACATCATCGGTAACCTGTGCCAGGGTGTTGACCTTAACCGTAACTTCGACATCAACTTTGGATCATTATCCAGCAGCAACCCTTGCTCCGAGACCTTCCACGGACCTGGACCTTTCTCTGAACCCGAGAGCTTGGCTATCCGTAACATCGTCCTCGGCAACATGAACCGTATCGAGCTGTACCTTGATATCCACAGCTTCGGCAGCTTGATCCTTTATGGATACGGCAACGGCGACCTACCCGCTAATGCTCTTACTCTCAACGTAGTCGGCGTAAGAATGGCACAGGCTATCGATGCTGTAAAATGGGAATCCAAACCCAACTACCGTGTTGGTAACGTTGCTCTGATCTTGTACAGAGTATCTGGTAGTGCTCCTGACTACGTCCAAGCTATTGGTATTCCTCTAGCCTACACATACGAATTGCCAGCTTACAGAAACCAAAACAACAGCCTGAACGGTTTCCTGGTAGACCCAGACTTCATTGAGCAAGCCGGTGTTGAAACTTGGGAAGGCATCAAAGCTGGAGCTAAATGGGTGCTGCAAAACACCAGAAGGAAGTAATTTCTTTTGAACTCTTCTCCAATAATCTTTAACATTTAATTTCTCTATGTTATTCCATTAAATTATTGATATTATCAATAATGTGTTATGATGTCTGTGAACTTAAAATATCGACCAAAATTGTCAAGAACACTAACGAAGAGTGAGAATATAAACACGAAAGAAAATAAATAATTTAAAATAACATGATACTTATTTTTACATTACCTTTAAATTATAACTAGCAATAGAAATAATAAGAATCTTTAACCATTTAAGTATATTATTAAATAATTTCTAATTAAACAAAACAAAGGGAAACCAGATTTAGTTGAATTGTTTCCGATCAAAGGACATCAAACAAAAGTTTAAGAAGAACAAAACAATTCCACAGTCGTCTTAAAATAATTATAACAAGAAATTACTGATTTATAAACCATGCTTTTATTATTCTGGATTTTTTGTTTTTATTGTCAATTAATATCTTTGCGTACCAAACACTCAAATATCTCTCCTATATGAGAATCGGCCCCTTATATTTGAGTTACAATACATACATTAATTATTATTTACCAAAAAATACAAAAGCTTTCTCTTTATATTATTAGTATACATTAGAACACAGTTATATTTATAAACGGACTTTAGCAATAGAGGTTAAGACACACAAACAACTAAAGATTTATTCAACGCGGCTGATAGCACTGCCATACGGTTAACTGCACTACTGTAACAAATGTTACAGCTATCCGCGTACTATCATCATTTGAACCGCATCAAGCGTTCCGCGAACTCAGTGTATACCTGCCTTTAGTTTGATATACGACTCGATTTAGAAGCAAGTGCATGTGAAATTATACGTCAAGCGGTGAGAAGAGACACTGCGGACCGTGAAATACATTTTAACTTGTCGCAGATTATGAGTTACTTAAACTTCTACCTTTTACTAAAAGTGATCAAAGCATATTTAAAGATAGTTGGATTTTGTATTTATTTTAATAACAACTAGCTTGCCCCCGCGACTCCGTTCGCGTGGAATAAAAAAATACAAAAGCGTGTAGCCTATTTGTTCTTCCAGACTATCCTCTACATCTGTACCAAATTTTATCGAAATCCGTTTAGCCGTTTAGGCTACAAACTCTAACAAACATCCATCCATCTAAACTTTCGCATTTAAAATATTATTGAGACTAGCTGTTGCTCGCAGTTCATCCCCGTGAAATAAAAAATATTGCCTATGTTACTCACAGATAAACTACCTTTCTAATGGTGAAAGAATTTTTGATATCGGCTCAGTAGTTTTTGGGTTATTTCAATATATACAAAAATACAAATCTTCCCTCTTTATAGTATTAGTAAAAATTAAAATACGCATGGTTTTGATGCTAATAATTAAAAAACACAAAACCTGTTTCTATATTAATCAAAAGTATGTACAAAACACTTTATTCCTTTCGCTTATTAAAGTTGGTCTAAACTTTGATAAGCTTTTTGAAAGCTGTTCGAACTGCACGTAGAAGTGCTTTATAAAATGCACCGTGATTAAAGTTTGCTGAGAAAACATGTCAAATGTCATAACCTGAGTGCGAATGCGGACTTCGTTTCGAAAGGTTATTTTTTTGACAACCGTACGGACTGCAGTGAGCAGAGTGAATTAAAAGTTCAAAGTACGTTGAGTGAACAAAAAAGTATGAAGTCTTTCGACTATCATCAGACATTTTGGGGTCTATTCTAATATCTTCGAGTAGGCGTGGTGTATGGGTAATTTAATGAAGCGATAGTTTTAATAATCAGGATGCTTATAATCGGTAGTACTACAAATTACACTTTACTTTAACACTGATATATAGTTACGAAACAATTTTTAACTAAATGGAGAATAACGTCCATCGAACACGTGGTCGCGCGCGCACCGCGTAGCGATTTGGACTGTCACTTTTATAAGATGGCCGCCGTTCCAGTGCTCGATGTTCGTTATGGAAATGGACTGCGCCGACAAGTAAATTAACATGCAGTGTTTAACAACACATAGCCTCTTAGGTATTGAATTTAAAAATGTAATGAAAAATACTGTGCTGTACATCGATTATACTAATTCTTTTGAAAAGAATACTGTTTCTCTTCGTAATAAATACAGTTTATAGTATAGTAGCTGTTAGCGACTTCATCCGCGTGGAATTATAAAGGGCATAATATTTAGCGTATTACTCAGTGATAATATACGAGTAGCTATAGATTGGTGAAAGAATTTTTAAAATCGACCCAATAGTTTATAAATTATTTAAATATATGCATTTTTTATATTTACATACTTTACAACATTAGTATAGACTAATTGTTCCCCTGCGACTTCATCCGCATAAACTTATGAAAATGTTATTTTATAGTTTACATGTGTCAAATAATCAAATGCAAATGAAAAAAATACCAATTGCCTTACTATGGCAATTTTGCTTTCTTGAAGTTGGTACTATTAGACAACTTATTTAATTGATACTGTCGCTTTTAACTCAGAGCAATACTTCTCGTCAAGACTCAAGTTACGCGCCAATCTATCCATACTTCTAGTGACATTGACAGCTGTCAGCTAGGGACGCGACGCCCATGCCGACAATCTAGAGTTGCGCCAATTCTACAGCACGGTACTAATTTTATTCCTAACAGTACCAACTTATGGTCTCTTTCCCACATTAGGGGATTTATCCAAAATATTAACACCCTATGTTTAATGGCGTGAAAATAGATAGTCTAAAGCATGACGTAAGTATAGGGCTTTTTATTACAAAAATAATTATTTAAAAATATGCTATAATTGCTGACATCTTAGGCAACAAAGAAGTGTGTGTTTACGCTTTATTATAATAGTATAGATTAAATTAAACGTAAGGTGGCTTAAACGTGTTTTAGTAGATAGTAAATGATGTTTCATTTTGTAAATATGTAAACTTAGATAGCGTTGGAATACCAGCACGGAGTGACGGAGCTGGCGTCTTTAAGGGGCGGAAATTAAAGGCTATTGTCGGAATGAGTTTTCGATACAGGGAGCGACGGGGCGAGATGACTTCCGTGCGACGTTGCGATAAAATTGCGACTATCTCGTTGTTTATGAACTTAACTAAAGAATGCAATGATAACGGAATTTCATATGCAATTTAATTTAAAACCCACTCAATTAGAACAAAAGTTTCATTTGTGCAATAAGAGATGGCGCTGTTTGTGTAAAGCGACATCTATCGGAGAGAATGTTAAACTTTACGTATTTTTTCAATAATCCTTTTTTAATAGGAGTAGACGGATATGCTCGTCAGCTTAATGTTAATCTTAGTTAGGAAAAGTTTAGCATTGTATGGACCATCTCTATCCAAGTATTTTCCTATGGTGTTACCGATGCTATGTACATTTTGTATAGTTATGTAATACAATTACAAATAGTTATGCAATTATATTCAGTATACTGTACAATGTAATTGCGTCGTGTATCAATTGCATTAATCACCAGCCGGCTGCAGAGGACGCGGCGCGCACGTCCGCCTGTCACCGCACAGAGTAACTCACCGGCAGTGCTATCATGTTTTGATAAATTATATTGTCAGTTTCTTGCCTCTTGCAAGACGTTTCGTAATTGTAAATTTCACGGACACTGAATTCTACTTCGTTTTGAATACTGGCTACAAATCATTGTGACTCTGTGACGTAACTTTATTGTAGCTGCAGACATCAAAGTAAAAGCAGCGAAGAGCTAGATTTTCTGAACAAAGTAACTCAGTGCATATAAGACTATAGTAACGTAATATAATAGCTTGTTAAAATATGACAGTACATTTTGTGAGCACTTGCAGCAATTCATTATTTTCCACGTTATAACATAATTGATTACCATATCTTATCCTTTTGTATTTCCCATTTTAAGTCATTATTGTACCAATAAACATACTAAATATTTATTGATCAATGCAAACGTATTAACCAATGTTATTTCTACCTTTATCATTTTTAATTCGTATATCATAAACTGCTCTAATTATTTTCAATAAATAAAAAATTGCTCTGCAGTTACGTTAGTCTTTGTTGATGACACTACAGCTGTCAGTTCAGTTTCGCTTACGCTTAATTTAAGCGTGATCTTTACAAATTACAGGACGAATTTGAAAAAAGTGAATTGCGGGAAATAGAAGTGACATTGAAACCTTAAACAGTATTTTCTTATTATTATAATGTTGTTAAGGTATTAACTATTAAATTGAAATTTAATATTGACAGGCACCATGATTGTGGTTCTACCTTATTATGTATTCGTGTATCCCTACTGGGATTTAACGGAAACCTTAGAACTAAATTAGTCAGGGGTAAAGGCTCTACCGAAATAATTAACATATTAGAGAGCACTTCATATTATGTTGTTAAAGTTTATTTTTGTGTTTTATGTATTATTCGAAACATAAATGATATATCTTTCATTAGACAATGAGAGAAATATGTTCTTAAGGTTTTGCAGTAGACACTATTGAAATGTATTCTCTTCGTTGTGGGAGAGCCATAAACAAGAAATAAATAATGTATTTTGAGGCGATAATTAAAAGACATTTAAAATTATCATATAAATTTATTTATTTTACTTTTCTATATTTTTATTGGATCATCCTGTATAGAGAGAAAATCGCAGGATTTCAATTCTAGAGGAGTTCAAATTGCAGGTTATACGACATCATGTATTCTTATAATCTGCAAAGAATGTGTTTGATTCAGCAAATTGTTTCATATTCTTCTTAATAGATACATTATCTTGCCAGTTACTCTTCTTGGCTATTATTTTCCTTTCTTGATCCACATTTCAGTGTTCCGTTCCAAAACCGAACGATCTCTCAGAAATGATTCACAATAATTTCTGTTTTCCCAAACAAGATAAGATAATAATTTGATATCTATATCCCAGTTTTGATATTAATATGTGACACATGATATCAGTCATTGATATTTATTTTCTAAAAACATAAATAAATGTAGTATAGTGAACTTTATGGTGTATGTTTGCAAAAATAAATACATGAGTTACCACCACCACCACATCCAGCTCACTATGTGTCCCCACTGAGGGGCTCGGAGCCTACCCTAAAGTAAGGAGCGACTCGGCTTTAGTAACATAAGTTACG